TTTATTTCACAATATACAGTCCCCGATAGAACTTTAACTTGTGTGATTTCTCACATTCATGTTTTTTAAAAATAGGATTAATAAATACTTAATAATATATGCAGCTTTAAAATATAAGAAATGGTACTTTAAGAATCTCAGTCAGAATCTGTGGGACCAAAGAATGACACTATACAGCAAAATCTTTTTCACAGGGACAACAAATTCAAGTGTGTATGGCTACAATTAAATAATTTATCAGTTTTAATAAAGACACGATTATCATGCAAAATCATTAGAAACTACACAGAGCTTTTATAAAAAACCAATTCCGTAAAAATCCTCCAATTTTAGTGCTTGATCTCGCCCTCTCTGATGTCTTTTGAAGCAGCACCACTGCCTTGGTGGTGTGCAGAACTAGCGCTGTGCTCTATACATACCTGAATATCCTGATGATGTAGATGCACACATCCCTATCGTTCATATGCTGCTCTAGCGCCACGCAGAGCTCAGAGGCTGCGCCGCTGCCAAGGAGCTGGCACCTCGCTGGAGGAAACTTGGCCAAGTTCCGCAGAGTAGCTGTCAGCTGCGGAGAGAACACATAAAGATGTATTACTCACAGCCGTTTGCAACAGCAGCCACGCTGCTTTGAAAATTTACTAAAGCTCAGATCTCATTTATAAAGTCTAAGGCAGCCCGAGTGCCCTGTTAACATTCTGCAGGTATTTATCTACCAATAAATGGTAACGGGAAACATGCAAGTAACAAAATTGTGCATACTGAAACAATTGCTTGAAAATGACAGATTGATACTGGTCTTTGCCTGCATGTAACCTCCTTCTTTGAGGGAAACACGATCTTTCATACGTTCTAAAATCTTGTATGCATGTATGCAATAATATACCAATTGGAAATTAGGTGAAATGCTATGGATAATTAAAGTGATTTTTTGCATTAGTGTAAATTTGCAAAATCAGATATTAAGCCTTGCAAATTAATACCGATACATAAGTTTTGGCAACTGTAAGTTGCAAACTAAGATGAACTGATTTTAAAAAACAATAAAATTTCTTTTTATTAAAAAAATTAAAAGTTAATAAAGATCAAGAGAAATCTACCATTTGAACAGTATAAAAATGAAAAGCTTAAGTCCTCAAGTTTATTTTGGAGAAACCAAAATATTCTCAGAAGACACTTGTATTTCAAGGAGTTTTAAGCATAAAATATCTTATCACTTGTAGATACGCAAAATGAATCAGCTATTGCTTATTCTGAAACGCTCTGGTTCTCTTCCAAGATAAGGGTATTCAAATGCCAAGGTCGGACAAGCAGTGACATGCACGTTAACTGTTGATCTAAACCAGAACTTACTATAACATAAATGTGAAGTCATTTAATGTAGTGTGAATATGGGAATTCTTCAATTTTTCCTTATTCTAGGAGTAAGGTATTTAACTTCAATTTGGTTTTAAATGCAGTTTGGTAAGGCACAATCAGTTCAGATTGTTTGTAGTCACCAAAAATTCTAGAAGTTAAGCATTTTGTCACTGAAGTGGACTGCTTGCCCAGCAATTTGTAATTGCTAATTTTAAAGGAAAAATCCAACAAAGTCCAGGTTAAGTTGTGTTGGAGGAGCTTTTCCTCACAGGATTCTGTGCACTGCTCTGTCCATTCCCCAGCAGCTTTCAAATTTGCCGTCTTACTTCAACAAATTTGACAAAAGTGTAGGTCTTCAGTTACCACACAAATGAAGAACAAGAACACAATTCAAGATGTTCTGTTCAAAATCGGACCAGGGCTTGCACTGCAACAAAGAGACTTACATATTAGATGGTGAAAAATAAAGTCTTTATCAATAGATAATGGTGCAGAGGTCTCCAAAATGAAAGTAAAATTTTTCACTGTCTGAGACAAGTTAAGACATTTCAAAAATCCTTCAAAAGTAAAAAAAAAGAGTAAAAAGAGGCACCCTCACACAAAGACAGGTTGGAAAGGAAAAGCAATGCAAAATAACATATACATTTAAATGTATGAAACAATGAAATTCAGAAGTCATAGAAGTATATATCCACAAGAGAACAGTTAGTATACCAAAGAGAAATATGAAAAGTACAAAATAAAAAATAAGAGAAGCTAGCTAGAAAGCACATGAATTCAGGAGATACTCTGACCGCTTCAAGCAGACACCATGATTCAGGGAGAAATACAGAACAGTTGGCTCTAGCAATCCCCACAAGCTCTAATCCTTATGTTGCCATGTGAAAGATCAAATTCACCCAAACAGAAAATTTAACAGCAGACAAATCCTATTTTTAAAGGAGAAGACATTTAAGTGCTTTTCAATTCAGGAACATGGAGTACTTGTTAAGTCTTGTCAGTGACACTTCAAAAGCCTTCGCTTTTGAATAAGCATTACCATATTTTGTATAAATATGACCAGTCTATTAGGTGAAGCAACATCAAATGTATCAAAGATGACCTTGGTTTCATGTCCTCTATTAAGGAAAAATTATTATTATTACAAACATTTTTATTCTTGTACTGTGGGACTCCTGCACAAAATCCACTGTGTAACAATGAAGTCAGAGAGGGACTTTATTCCCACAAAAAGGACTTGGCAAGATTATGTACAACACTGCCATCTGGAGACTGTGCAATTGAACGGTTAAAGAATGAAGAGTTGGTCCCAATTAACTGCGACACTTCAGTTATCAGGATCAAGAGACAGGAGAGACTCCCTCACAGACCACTGTGACTACTTAAGGTGCTTTGCTCCTCCAGTATAATTTGCTTTCTATTCCTGAAGACTTGTATTTATTCATTATCTCTGTATGTCACTGGATCTTTCACTACAAGTTAAAGTATGCCACAAAAACGTCCTTTATTCTGAAGACAGGAAACACCGAAGCAACTTTCTCCGATTCCATAAGCCCGAAAACAAAACTATTCCTACATTTGCCTATGACGACTGAACAATTAACTCACATGGAAGAAATGGTGCACGTTAACGTAGATTTGTTGAAAGAACTGGTATGAGAAAGTCGCAC